ATGGCACAGGCAGGAGGCGGAAGCGTCCGCGAAGCGCCAGCGCGCGAGGGAAGCAGAAGAAGCAGAGAGTACGGCCATCTCAGGACCGAAGAGAAAGACAGTCGGGGAAGCGGCGGTGGGGGGGAAGAAACGGCGACCGCGCACTGCTACTGTAGAAGCGAGTAGGGCGGCCGAGGCAGCACTTGTGGCGAACTATGTACCCGGCTGATGTTGTTACGCCCTGTTTCCCTCCCTGCTGTATGATATTCTCCTTTGTGTATGTCCTTTGTATTGCCTTCGGCCTCTGTGCTGTGTTTTTTTTCTTCATGTCCTCCCTACCTACTCTGCTGTGTTGGGTACCTTGATCTCCCTTTTACTGCTGTTGCTTTTGTTTTTGTACGTCTGGCTGTCCGCCCATCTGCCGCCTACTTGTTCTGTTGGCTCCGTTGTTCCCATGCCCTGGTGCGTAGTGCCTGGTGCTGGTACGTTACCCTTTGATTTTTTCTTTGGGCGGGTGTGGGAAGAGTCCTCCTTTATTTTTGTTTTGTTTTATTTTTGATCGGTTTCCGAGGGCTCTTTTCTCGAACGGTCGGTGCGGTACCTGTTCTTTTTCATTTTTTTTTTTCTTAGCATCACACAACAAATCCATCTCTATCTTTAGAAAAAAGTCCTAGATTAGCAATGAATCCGTAGCGTGAGCGAAAGGCTACCTGTATGTCTACGGTTTCCCAGACAGCATACAACGATAACTCCCCTGTGGGTAACAGGCTCAACAAGGCAGTTTGGTAACCATCTTGTGTATCTATCTGTATGCTATGTTGGGAAGTTGTAGACGGAAGAATCAGGGAAACTCGTTTTGTCGGGTGTTCTATTCTAGCACCCTTATGTGGTTGCGGAGCAAGCGCGTCTCGGGGTGTGTATAGTTTCGTCATCAACTCATTTTTTGTTTGTGATGTATGGGGGCATGTGCGGCGCGGCGTCGTATGTGCCGGGTTTCGAGACCACGGGCTCCCCATTTTTTGTGGACAATAGAGCTAGTAGTGTGAGAAACAACAACAACAACCCCATAGCACCGAGGACAGCAGTGGGTCAGACTCCAGCGGTGGCCCCACGCTCAATCCCGAATATCTTCTCTGTAGAAGGGGGAGCGTGTGTCACCTCTGTTGAGACTCCCTCAGCAGTCGTGCCTGACGCCACATGTATGTGCTGCTGAGATCCACAATTTACATCTATCTATGCTGAGACTCCCTCCGTACACTATGGGCGTGCCCTTCTTCGCGAATAGTTGGCGACAGCACACTCTCGAGGTAGAATACTAAAAAAATCTGTGTCAAACCAGATTGGTCGGCAAGTTGTGGCTGCAAGTCTTCGAAGAACTTTTCATCTCCGCTGCGCAGCCATGGCCGTCGACTTGTCTCTTTTGGGATCGATTGTAGGTGTCTTCCAAGTAAGATTCATTCGTTGGCATGTTGTGGCTGCAGGTCTTCGAGAGACGTTGCGCAACCACAGCCGTCGACTTGGGATCGATTGTACGGTAGGTTTCTTCCAAATGATATTCATTCGTCGACATGTTGTGGCGGCAAGTCTTCGAGAGGCTTTTCATCTCCGTTGCGCAGCCACAGTCGCTCCTCTCTTTTGGAATCGATTGTCCTGTAGAGTCTTCCAAATCAGATTCATTCGTTGGCATGTTGTAGCTGCAAGTCTCCAAGAGACCTTTTATCTCCGTTGCGCAGCCACATAGCCGTCGACATGGGATCGACTATAGGTCTCTTCCAAATCAGTTTCATTCGTTGGCATATTGTGGCTGCAAGTCTTCGAGAGACTTTTCATCTCCGTTGCGCAGCCACAGCCAGCCGTCGATGTGGATCGATTGTATCTTCCAAATCAGATTCATTCGTCGGCATGTTGTGGCTGCAAGTCTTCGAGAGACTTTTTTATCTCCGTTGAGCAGCCACAGCCGAGCCGTCGACTTGTCTCTTTTGGGATCGATGATATAGGGTCCGTCTATTCCTGACAACACTGTAATTCTGCTGAGAACCGCACAACACCGCCCGCAACCGAAACGCCAGTCACTTACCCTTTGGTTAGCACACACCCTGTGACAACAGAATTGTAGTTGCTGTTTGTTGTGTAGTTGGCAGTGGTGGCGCAGTTTGGGTAGATACAACACAGAGTGATCATTAGATCCAAAACACAGGCGCCCAAGCTGTCTTCACCTGACGGTTACAGACTTGGAGACACGCCTTCACAATACTGCACAAAACCCATGCAGTAGAATAGAGTCAGTTCTTGCATACAAATCCCAACATGTCCTCTCAAGAACTACGTCATGACTAGCTCTGATACATAAGACACAAAATTCTTTCTCTCAGTGTCCTCTCGAAACAAATACCAGTGTCCTCTCGACAAATGCTATCAACATGAATGCATGCTCTCGAACAATTCAAATTGAATACTCATCACTAACTGCCAGAGTTTTCTGGGCAGCGAATTCCATGTACCGTCCAACCCTTTTAAGACATATGGTCTGATTTCGGTAAGGGGAGGTACTCACACTCCAAGCAAAATAAGGCGGTTCTGCAGGAACTTCACAGCTCCCGAACTTTTGGTCAATATGTCTGCCCTCTGCCTGTTGGTGTCGATGTAAGTTACATCTACCACGTTTTGGTCCTCTAGGTGCCGGACGTGGTGGAACTTCACGTCGATGTGCTTCGTGCGGGGCGTGATTTTGCTACCCTTTGCGAACGCTACGGCACCCGCGTTGTCCTCGTACAATACTGTTGCTTGCTTCTGCTTCATCTTCAACGACTCTAGCAAATTTCGAAAATGTATAACCATGAGGCACGCCTTGGACAGCGCGACGACTTCTGCCTCGAACGTGGAGATGGCCAGCACCGTTTGATTCTTGGCTATCCAGATCACTGGGCCACCTGCGAGATAGAGAACGACACCGGTTGTGGAGTAGCCCTTGTCTTGGTCACCGGCAAAGTCAGAATCCGCGTACGCCGTTAGCTTGTCTCCGCCGTCGGCGTCTTCGGTGTATGTGATCCCGATAGTGGTTGTCCCTTTTAGATACCTGAGAACCCGCTTCAGCTTTGCCATCGCCTTGGGACCCGGTTTCGCCATGCTCTTCGTAAGCACCATCACCGAGTGGGTAATATCCGGCCTCGAACCCCTGCTGAGATACAGGAGACTGCCCGTGGCGGACCGGAAGTACACCGTGTCCTCTGGAGACAAAACCTTCTCCTCCACGGTGCTGATAGGCCCAGCCTCCGCAGGCGTCTTCGTAGAGTGCGCGTCGGCCATTCCGAACTTGTCAAGTACGGCCTTCGCGTACATCTCCTGCGACAGGAAGATCGTTCCGGCGTCGACGTTCCTCTCAAGTGCCATACCGAGCAGGAACTGTGCATCTCCCAGGAACACTGTGTCGAACCGCTCCTTCAGCTGCTCGACGACCCGCATCACCTGCGCTTCGTCGCTTCCCGACAAAAGAATGTCGTCGACGTACACGAGAAGGAGGACCCCTCCCGCGTTAAGGATGTAGAGACAGGGGTCCGCCGTACTCTGAACGAACCCGATCTCCAGCAGGAAGTCGTGGAAGGTGCCGTTCCAGCCCTTCGGAGAGAGGCGCAGCCCGTAGAGCCACGCCTTGAGTCGCCACACTTTTCCCTGTTGTTCCGGAGAGCACTCGAACCCTTTCGGAGGGATGACGTAGATCGGTTTCGCATTTGCAGGAACCCGCGCGTGGAGGAATGCCGTCTTGATATCGGCTTGCTTCAGGCCAAAACCATTCTTGGCTGCGATAGCAATCAGCAGGTGGACGGATTCCATGGACGCCACAGGCGCCGCTTTATCCTCGCCCGTGTCTGCTTGGTGAAAGCCTTGGACCACAACGCGGCTCTTCAGTCGAGCAAGCTCGCCATTCTTGTACTTCCGCTTATAAAGGTACCTTGACGGGATCGGCTGGTCCTGGGCACTCGTCGGCGGCTCGACCCAGTCGTACACATCAAGGTCGACAAGCGACTGGTTTTCGTTCCGCATGGACTCTTGCCAGTCTAGAGCATCCTGCCCACGGATCGCTTCGTCGTAGCTCGAAGGGTCGGGAGCCCTGTAGCCCACTTCGCCAGGGTTGCCAGTCCCGTTGTTGCCAAGCGAGCTTCCGGTGAGCAGGGAGCGTTCCACTTGCTCGAAGGCCTCCTCCTCCGTGGCAAAGGTAAACAGGTTCAGACGTTCAGTCGGCTTGGGGTTCCTGGTGCTGCGACGGGGGCCCGGCTCTTGCGCCTGAGGCGTGGGCTCCGGCTCGTTATCCTTCTGCTCGTCTTGTGGCTCCACCACACTGTCGACGTCGTCATCAGACTCTTCCGGACCGGGATGGTAAATCATTGGAGTCTCTGGCAGCGGATCATGCCCTGCCTTGGGGGGAACCACGTCGCGCGGGGCTTTCTCGCGAATAGAAACTTCGGCGGAGTTGGTGATCTTAAACTTGTCACGAGGGGACCATAGCCTCCACGACCGGCTTTTAGGGTTGACACCGACCAGAAACATCTTCTCAGCCCTGGCAGCCAGTTTGTTGGGCCTGTCCCCCGCTTCCACGTGCTTAAAGCATACCGAACCGAATTCGCGGATGTGGTGCAAGCTGCCAAGCGGTTTGTTCTCCCATACCTCAAGTGGTGCCTTGCCGCCCAAGACGTCCGTAGGCGTGCGATTCAGTATATAGATCGCGTATTGGAACGCTTCGGCCCACAGACTCTCCGGTAGATGAGGTGCCCCAAGAAGAAGGCGCCGCGTTATGGCTGCGACCGTGCCAAAGCCACGCTCGGCGACGGCGTTGCCTTGAGGCA